TACGCTCCCACAGAGCGGGCCTCCTCAGGGTGCCGTCGGCCAAGCAATGTCGGCTGGCGACCCCCAGGGGGAGGGCCTTCTCTGTGGGTGCCCCCACCCTCTGGAACGAGCTACCCCCCGAGATCCGGATAATCCCGGATCTCCTAACCTTCCGCCGCGCCCTCAAGACATGGCTTTTTCAGCAAGCGGGACTGACCTTGGGTGAATTTTAAATAGGGATAATTTTTAATGATTTTAATAATGTCACAGCTACAAATATTTGGTTTTTAATTGGCTTTTATAGGGGAAATGTTGTGTTGTGTTGTTAGTGTTGTGTTATTTTAATATGCTGTGAGCCGCCCTGAGTCCCGTGGGGAGAAGGGCGGCATATAAATTATGAAAAATAAATAAAATAAATAAAATAAATAAATTTGATATATATAATGTTACAAGTAGGAGGGGGATTCTTCCATTTTGTCCCCACAACAACTCTGTGAGGTAGGTTGACTGAGAGAGTTCCAGTGATTTCCATGGTGAAGTGAGCACTTGAATTTGGGTTTAATATACCTAACCTAAACAACTTTTATTACACTGGCTAATTCCAGATAAATGAAAAAGGGGTTTGTCATTAAGCAGTAAAAGAAGCCTGTAAATTGACAACTTACATTTTTTAGATCTGAATTTCTCTCCCTTCTATTACTAAATTTGCAAAAGCATTCAAGCAGGTAATTAACGATGTACCTTTTTTAATAGTTTGCAATTGCCAAAACATTTTCTGGTAAAATAGGTAATAGTGTCTTGCAACACACTTAAAACAGAGAACATCCACAGCCCTCTAAATTTCTCCTTTCAGTGTTTCTTAAACTGTTGTCCAGATTATCTTTCTCCAGTCTTTAAGTAATGTCGTTATCACCACAAAAATGTCCAGATGCAGTTGTTATACACCAGCACCTTGGCAGTGGCAGTTGCAACTGGATCCTCAACTCATAAACCAGTAATTATATTGCTCTATTACCCTCAGAATAAATAATCATCATCCTGTTTTTCCTGCAGGTAAATACCCCAGTTTAAGAACTACCACTCTACACAATCAGGAATTCTGCTTTATAGGTAGTGTCAACAAATGACCTTAATGGATCCTTTTTTGTGGCAATCAAGAAGCAAATCGGGCATTCGTAAAGCAGCTGTGGCACTCATCAAACAAACCAAAGGCTTGCTATGAGTGTGGTTTTGCCAAAACTGAAAATGAAAAACTATTATTAAACACGGTCATAAATGCAGCCATGCACCCAAAGCTTGGGCATGTGATTAGAGGGAGCCTGACTGTCAGAACTTCAAATCCTAGTTGTAAATCCCCTTTTCCAGTGGTCATAACTTGAAACAGTCGCTAAGCGACTAGTCGTAAGTTGAAGACTACCTGTATAAGGATCCTCATATCAAAAGGTGTCTCTGTCAAAAAATATTAAGATAGCAACACATTTAAAAAGGGACAGGGCCTTGAATGCATCATTGTGGTCACCATCTTGGGGTTTTACCTCCTCCCTGTGGAGACTGGTTCTTGCACTCAAATATATCCAAAGGGACACCTCTGTATACCTTAGACCAGGGGTAGGCAACCTCGGCTCTTTTATGACTCATGGACTTCAACTCCCAGAATTCCTGAGTCAGCTATGCTGACTCAGGAATTCTGGGAGTTGAAGTCCATGAGTCATAAAAGAGCCGAGGTTGCCTACCCCTGCCTTAGACTTTGAGTGGGCATGGTGCACATGGGGTATGAGGCTGACTCCACTGTGCGCCCCCAAGTTTTTATGTCTTTTGGAAACGGCATACATGGGATAAAATTTACATATATTTGCACCTGCTGATCGTTTATGTATACTTGGCTAGCCTTTGGGTTCAAAGAACACACACTGTTGTGCAGTTCATCTGTGGACCACGGAGGTGGCTCCCCAGTCCCATTCCAGCAGCGCAGTCTAGCACAATAGGGACACTGAACGTCCTTTGTTGTAATAATCGTGACCCTGTCCTTTCAGTATGCCTATAAAGCAATTCTGCTGACATCAAGTTTCATTTACTGCCAAGAAAGGATGCAGATTCACAAAGGCTGAATTGGCTGAGCCCCCCCCCCCCGGACCCCAAAGCAGCCACATTTTAGGCTGGAACGCGTTACACGCCGAACTAGGAGGATCAGAGGAGGATGCAGCGAGTTGCGCGCATCCAGTATTTGATGGAAGGTATCTGGCCCAGCCAATTAATCCGGGTCCGGGCTTCCGCCCCTTCCAGGCCCCCGACGGGGACTCGTCTTTCGGGGGTCCCCAATGTGGGCTGCGCCCGCCAGAGGGCTCCTCTTCCTGTTTAGAAGGGGAAGCTGCTCCTTTCTCGGCCGTGGCCGCCGCTCGGCAGCCCCACTACAGAGGCGGAGTTTCCCGACTCAGTCGCCGCTGCACATCCGGATTAATCTTAAGTGGTTGCTGCTGTGTCCGACGCCGATCCTACCCCCCCCCCGCAATAGAGGGACTCCCCCCCCCTCGCCCCACCTGCAAACTTGCTGGAGCCGCACCGCAGGCTGATTGCAGGTGATTAAAGGCAAATCCTGGAGGAGGGGGTGGGGCCGTCGGCATCCGGGCCTGGAGGATTTTTTTTTGCAGGGATTGGCCCCGATGCCCCTCGCCTCGCGTGTTTTTTTTTGTGTGTGTGTGGAATGGGAGGGAAGTCATTGATCGAAATAAAATCAATGCCGTTAAGGGGGGGGGGGGTTGGAAAGAAGAGAGCCCCAATTGAGTATCGGTGGTGGGACGTTCTCGGGCTGCAGGGAGCGGTGGGATGGGAGTGAGGGAGGGGGTGTGTATGACATGGGCCCTTGATGCCCGGGAGCTGCACTTGGAAGATATCTTTTTCTGCCCTTACTGCATTATATTGCTGCCCCCCCCCCATTTAAAGTACCGGATTCAAGAGCTTTTAGGTGTAGGCCGATCAGATTTGGGGTCCAATTTGCTGCTCCCGGATGGGGTCATATGTTGCAGTGCCATACACCCCTAATTCATTTTCGGGGCGTCGGTATTCTAGTCGCCTATTGATTTAGGAGCAGGTGGCATATTTAAATGTGTATTCAGGAGCATAGGTTATTTTATTCGTTATTTAGTGTGATTTATTTAAAAAAAAAAACAGCATTGGCCAGTTTTTGAACTACAGTAATAGCAATCAGAAGAGGAAAGATAATTGTATTTATTTTCTTTCTTGTTATCTTCCTGCCACTTCTGCGGGTGTCCAACTCCTGTATCAAGATATTGCATCTTGCCACCTAAATCTCCTGGGTGGCTCATCAAATCAATAAACTGACCTGAAATGATTATTGATACAGTTGTGTACATTTGATTTGTTGATGAAATGGTACAGTTACACTTGCACAGTAAGGTGTGGTCATTGAAAAAAACCTTTCGTGTTTAAATAATAAAAGAAGCCTTGCAAGGAGGTTGTATTTCTGCGTGCATTTATCTGGAGGTTAAGTACAGCTAGATTCAATAGGACTAATCTCTGAAGAGATCTGCGTAAGATCATACAGAATGGCTTAAAATTTCCTTCCAGGGCTGAATGAATTTCTTTCTTTTTAAATGTATTTTTAGCTCCTTTGCAAAACTACGTGTTTTCTCACAGTAGCTTATGATACAAAGGCAGAAGCTGAGTTACCCATTATTTAGCACTGGATCAGGACTTGCTGCGGTGCTGGGAATGAACTTTGATATGAGAGAATTTAAGTTCAGAGCACGCACGGCATTTTCTTAGGAACCTGCTGACTGCAGCTAGACAGGCTATTTGCTAAAAAGACTCACAAAGCCAGCCTCTTTGCTGCAGGGGGCTGCAGGAATCTGCAAGGACGGAAGGGTAGTTCAAAATAGCCATCAGGTTCACATATATTGTTAGTGGAGCACCTTTTCTTCCTGGAGGGAGATAAAGATTCTGCTGCTACTGGACAGTTAGGTAGATTAATATATATTTAAGCTGCCTCTGAGGGTAAGAGATGAAATAAGCCAAGCTGGAAAAGGAAAGCTATGATGAATGTAAAAAATTAATAATCTGCAGATTGGCATTATTTTTTCAGAAATAGTTTGGCCCCCCCTCCCCTGTCTTCCTTCTAGGGCTGAGAGGGACTGGCCCAAGGTCACCCAGCTAAGATAGGACTAGAACTCATGGTCTCTTGGTTTGTAGCTTAATGGCTTAACTACTACACTAAACTGCTTGGGGAAATTGAGAGGATTGAGGAAACTTCCCCCCTTTTGGAAAAGTCTGGCAGATCCTGCTTTTGCAAAAATGCTGGATATTCTTGGAAGTCTTACACACACACACACATCCTTGGAAGGATAACATCCAGAGTCTCTTTCTGAGAGAGGAAACACAGTTATGGAATCAATGTAAGCCTATAATGCAAAAGTCCTTAAAGGCCTGTGAAACCTTTTCTGTATTGAAACTGGAAGCCATGGAAACCAAAAGTAGCGGCCTGGTCCCCAGATGCCTACAAGAGTCTGATGCGTGAAAAGCATTTCAGATGGGCTTTTGCCCTGGGGCCTTGTATGGGAAATTCTGTTTTTGGTGTAAGAGGAAGCTCTCTTTCTCTGTGTATTTATGGTTGTGAGTTTTATTGGCGTGGAGAGGCAATTGCTCCTTCTGTCCTGCCTGAAATCCCTCTGTGGTAAGGGCAGCTGTCGCTGTTTTAAGTGGCTACTGCAGTACATTGTTGTTCCCCTTTGTTGTTGTTTTTAATCAAACAAGCTGGAAGCTTTTGCACCGTCAGATAAAATATGCTTTATGCTTGTGGAATACAGTATTTTGTTAACGCTGATCTGATCAGATGCAATGATTGCTACAAGAATGAGAGACTGGATCAAAGATGTGAAAAAAATACAGCTGGGCTGCAAAATACAGCGGGAGGGCTCGAAGTAAGGGAAGTCTACTTCAGTGAAATTCACTGCATTTAATTTGTTTTTGACAGGTGCTGGTAAGCCTCTGAGAAGACTATTTGTATCATGGAGCCATGGGTGTATCTAGACCAGCGTCAGAAGGCTCTGTATCGAGATGTTATGCAAGAAAGCTATGAGACCCTAATGTCTCTTGGTAAGAATACACCTTTTTCTTCTATTTTGGAGTCATTGTTTGCTCATTTTTTTGATTTCATAGGTCTAATAAAGACAGTCTCGCCATCTGCCACTAGTAGCATTTAACTGATGAGACATGTGAGGAAAGGGCTGAGTCTTTTCACTGTGCTTAAAACGAAGAAAGGGGTATGGGTCTCCCTAAGGAAATATTTAAATAAACAATCTCTCTCACCTCTCCTCTACCATCTCCAGATCTCTACTCAATATAAAGTGAACTGGGCAATATTACATACAGTATTTCTCAGTTTAGTCTCATAAGAATGTTACAAGAATAAAAGGGATGAGTAGAAATTGTTTGGGATTTGGTAGAGGCCCTAATACTTGTGTTGAAGGATGACATAGCTTTTAACATACAAATTATTCCTGGCTCCAAGCCCCCTCTGTGTATCAGAATGCTTCAGGCTGAATGTTGCTTCCTTTGCTTCAGGAGTGTGCAGAAGGGAGTGTGACTTCTTATATTGAGAGTGTGATGTAAGATGGGTCCCCAACATCTGGGCCACAGCCCGTTTGGGACCAGAATGTGGAAGTGGTAGATGGGGTGCACGCACATGAAGCTACACTTGCGAAAGTGGCGCGTGTGCGCACATGAAACCATCCCCTCTCCCACCTCCACCAGTCTGCTGAGATGGAAAAGTTGGAGATTACTGATGTAAGAGATCATCTCCACCTCTTTTGCAGTTGGAAAAGTAGTAGTTTATCCCATAGCTATCATAGTAATACATTATTGAAGTTCTTCTTAAGCTTTCTTAGATATGAAGGCAAATATACGTGTCCCAGGATAATGTTGCAGGATCTAATCTGTGTCAGTCACTGGGACCAGAGGTTTAGTCTTCCGAGCTTTTGGTCTTATGCTGGATCCCATCCTTGGGGAACTTCTCTCTACCACAATGTGTCTTTCTTAAGAACACACTGATTTTATTCAACTCAGTGTTCTAAATAGGAATGCTTTGAGTGATGGGGTTTGTGCTCTGCCCATTGAGTGGACTTATGAGTAGGGGGAGAGATAAACCATTTATGTCCTGGATCACCTTTTATGATCTTAGGTATAGTCATTGGTTGAAACATTCCAAGATCCCTAAAGAATGAAGAATCTGGCTGAAGGGAAACAAGTGCACATGCTTTCCAAAAGAATCAGTATCAGACTTATTAAGCATCAGCACAGTAAGGTTTAATTGGACAGTTATCGGAGAGCTACATTTTGGAGTGATTTTTGGACAGATTTTTTTTTTCAGTCTTGTTTGAGACTTTGGCCAGTATTTGGGCACTTTTTTTGGATGCATAAAGCATTGTGTACATCATTGCATCTTAGGAGAGACATGCTGAACAGGCTTTACTCCAAGCAATTCTCAGACTTGTTCAGCCAGAAACCCAAGTCCAAAATATGTACATTGCCTCTGCATTATTTATTTGGTTTGCTTGGGGATAGTGTGTAGGAAGAGTAAATAATTTGTACCTTTCCTGATTCAGATTGGAGCTTGTTAGCTCTTTACATCTAGTAGTCCTTTCATTCCCCCACTTAGATCATCTTCCTCACTGTGTTGGTCTTCAGATGTGATCGTGCTAGCTAAGGAATGATGAAATGTTTGCTGTGATACATGCTATGGACTTCTGTCGTTATGTCAGGATGCAAGTAGGAAAGGTTAGAATGTGCATCTTGAGGTCACAAGGTCTGTTTTGTCCCTGTAATTTGTATCAGATGTCTATGAATACCAGCATTCTTACAGTAGATGCCCTGTTGGAGGACATATCTGATGCCTCCTTGTGCCAAATGAATTTGGCAATAGCAAACAAGTTGTGTGAAGCTGTGGCGTTGGCGACAGTAGTGTGTGTCTATATACTGTATGGAACTCCGTATTGACTGCTCTTTGCTCATTTCAATGAGAAGGTGGCAAGAACAGAATAGAAAAATTGATTGTGAATTAGGGAAAAAGTGGACCATTTCATTGATTCAGAACGTGCTACTTTAACTTTTCTAATGAAGCTGCACAGTTCAGTAAGTTCCCTGAATCTTACTAGCAGGTTCTGGTCCTGCCTCATAATGCTGTCTCTTCTGCATAATCTGCAGTTAGTAAATAAATCAGAAGCAGAATAACAGAGTTGGAAGGGACCTTGTAGGTCATGTAGTCCAACCCCGCACCCAAACAGGAGACCCTACACCATTTCTGACCGGTGGCAGTCCAGTCTCTTCTTGAAAGCTTCCAGTGATGAAACTCCCACAACTCCCACATCTGAAGGCAAACTGTTCCACTGGTTGATTGTTCTCACTGTCAGAAAAATTCTCCTTATCTCTAGGCCAGACATGTCAAACTTGTGATGTCACATGACATCGCACGGCATATTGGAGCTTTTTCCCCATTGCCGGCAATGGGGTGGGCACGGTTTCCTCATGATGCATTTGGCCCGTGGGCTGGCAGTTTGACACCCGTGGCTGAATCTCTTCTTGATCAGCTTCCATCCGTTACTCCTTGTCCTGCCTTCAAGTGCTTTGGAAAATAGGTTGATCCCCTCCTCTCTGTGACAGCCCTTCAAATATTGGAACACTGCTATCATGTCTCCCCTGGCCCTTCTCTTCGCTAGACTAGCCATGCTCAATTCCTGTAGCTGTTCTTCATATTCTTTAGCCTCCAGTCACTTAATCATCTTTGTTACTCTTCTCTGCACTTTTTCTAGAGTCTCAACATCTTTTTAATAGTGTGGAGACCAAAATTGGTTGCAGTATTCTAGGTGTTGTCTTACTAAGGCTTTACAGAGTGGTGTTAGTATCTCACATGATCTTGACTGAATCCTCTGTTAATTCAACTTAGGATTGCATTGGCTTTTTTGGCTGCCTCAGCACACTATTGGCTGATATTCAATTGATTGTCCACTAAGACTCCAAGATCCCTCTCACAGTTACTGCTATTAAGCTTGGTTTTACCCAGTTTCATTTTGTTAGATAGGGCCCAGTGTTCAAATTTATCAGGATCCATCTGGATCTTGAGCCTGTCATCTAGGGTGTTGGCTATTCTGCCAGGTTAGTATCATCTGCAAATTTGATAAGTTCCCCTTCTATTCCTTCATCTAAGTCATTTATGAAGATGTTGAAGAGTCGTGGGCCTAGGACAGAACCTTGTGGTACCCCATTGCTTACTTCCCTCTATGTAGACGTAGTACCATTAAGGGCTACTTGCTGAATACGGTTTGTCAGCCAGTTAAAAATCCATCTGATAGTGATGCTGTCTATCCCACTTTTTTTTAGCTTTCCAAGAAGTAGGTTGTGGTCTACTTTGTTGAATGCCTTGCTGAAGTCTAAAAGTGGTCTCCTTGAATAGCTATGTGTAGTTGGCCATATGTGGTTGTGTTCCTTCATTCCAAATGCAAGATTCTAGCTTCTATAGCTGCAATTATCAGTTTTTTTAGTAGAAAGGAATGAGGTTGAGGAGCTTAATTGTTTGGAGTTCAGCCCATCCCCTGCGTGGTTATTTCCAGAGTTGAGTTGTTCCAAAAGCCAAATGGATCTTGATTCCCTTCATTCAATTCCATCTAACATCTCATTTTAGAGAGATCAAGACATTTTTCTGGATTGCAATCACACAATCTCACTCATAGCCCTGGAAACCTCTAATCCTGTTTTGTGCAAAACGCACATCTGCAAATACTGGAACCTTTGATTGAAATTTCAGACTGCACAAAAATTTCTTGCAAGATCTACATGAATGCAAATTGGATGCTATAGATCATATAGATTTAAACAATTCACCCAAGTAATCAAATAATAAAGATCCTGGAGCACTGGGGAACTACCAGAGGACTGGAAAAGAGCTGATGTAGTTCCCATCTTCAAAAAAGGAACAAAAATGGATTGAGGAAACTACAGACCTATCAGCCTGACCTCAATACCTGGGAAGATTCTGGAAAAGATAATCAAACAACGAATCAGCGAACACCTAGAGGCAAACAAAGTCATTACCAAAAGCCAACATGGGTTTGTCAAAAACAGATCATGCCAGACAAATCTTATGACAGATGACAAAATTAGTGGACCAGAGGAATGCTGTGGGTATAATTTACTTGGACTTCAGTAAGGCATTTTATAAAGTAGGCCACAACCTACTACTTGATAAGACAGAAAAATGTGGGTTAGACAGCATCACCACCAGATGTATTTGTAGCTGGCTGACTGGCCGTACTCAGCATGTGGTCCTCAATGGAGCTGCATCTACATGGAGGGAAGTGTGTAGTGGGGTGCCCCAGGGCTCTGTTCTGGGCCCAGTATTCTTCAACATCTTCATCAATGATGACACCCAGCTGGCAGGAATAGCCAACACTCCCGAAGATAGGCTTAAGATACAGAAGGATCTTGACAAACTTGAACATTGGGCACTATCTAACAAAATGAAATTCAGTGGTGAAAAAAGTAAGGTTCTACATTTAGGCAAGAAAAACCAAATGCACAGGTACAGTATAGGTGGTACCTTGCTCAATAGTAGTAACTGCGAAAGGGATCGTGGAGTCCTAGTGGACAATCACTTAGATATGAGCCAGCAGTGTGCTGCAGCTGCCAAAAAAGCCAACACAGTGCTAGGCTGCATTAACAGGAATAGAATCAAGATCACGTGAAGTATTAATACCACTTTACAATGCCTTGGTAAGGCCACACTTGGGATACTACATCCAGTTTTGGTCACCACGATGTAAAAAAGATCTTGAGACTCTAGAAAGAGTACAGAGAAGAGCAACAAAGATGATTAGAGGTCTGGAGACTAAAACATATAAGGAATGGTTGCTGGAATTGGGTATGTCTAGTTTAATGAAGAGAAGGATGAGGGGGGACATGATAGCAGTGTCCCAATATCTCAGGGGCTGCCACAAAGAAGAGGTAGTCAAGCTATTCTCCAAAGCACTAGAAGGAAGGACAAGAAGCAATGGATAGAAACTAATCAAGGAGAGAAGCAACCTAGAACTAAGGAGAAATTTCCT